CCCCCCCCCCCCCCCCCGCAAGTTGTCCTCTGACCTCTACAGTGTGATGGAGCACATGCAGGTACTCATACATGCAAATTTAATAAAACATGAGCACCACATCTGAGATGCTGATAACTAAAGGAATTAGATCGTCTCTGTTTAAATAAGCTATGTCATTATAAGAGCTACTTCAGTCTTGTTTTGAGTCCTGGAACTCAATAGGACAGTCAGGCAGGCCTTCAAACTCCCATCCCCCTGCCTCTGCCTCCCCAGTGCTGGCATTAAAAGCGTGCACCCCCACACCTGGCTAATGGGGGGCTTTTGTTGAACGTTAGAAATAAAATCTGTTGATTGAATACCTTATTTGGCATTTAGTTTAAGATGAGTTCTTAAAGGTGATGACCTCCTGTTTACCTCTTCTGACCCATGTTGAGATGCCCCGCCCAGAGCTGTTTGGGCACCTGCATGGTATGAGCTAGCTTGTGAAAGATGAGGTGATGGGGGCCCCTGAAGTGCCCTGATGAAGCACCCTGAGTGCTCAGACAGCATTTACCACTTCATGTTTTGTGAGTACATCGTTTGAGAAGCGAGTGAGCCCGTTGCCAGCTGTGTTAATTGTATGCTTCCTTCTGGCCATTTAAACCCTTTCAGTGTGTCGGTGCCCTCGGGTCCCTTGCCTGTTAATGGGTACTTCTCGTTCCGTAATTGCAACTTGGATGACACTTTGGTGTTTTTCCAAAAGGATCTTTTTATATTTATTTAGAAGCAATATTCAAGATACCTTAAAGGAGAGGCCTTCGGTTGCCCTGCACGTTAAGGATAACTTCCCTTACCAGTTTCTTTTGTACCCTTCTAGGCGCTCATCTCTGCATTTCGGCAGTTTTGAAATGACCAGGAAATCCAGTACTGTTGGATTCGATGACATTTGATGTCTGTGGGTCTGCCTTAGAGGGTGCCCGGCAGACATAGCAGAGCTTTGAAAACCTAGGCTGGAAACCCTGCACACCATGGCCTCTCCTTGGGACGGACCCCTTTGCCCACAAAAAGTGGCACACTGTTCCTGGCAGAGTTTGAGAGGGAACGGCTGCTCGTGGTCCTTATGTTTGCATAACCGCAAAGGTTCCGGGTCCTGTCTATGCCTTTGGGTCTGCAGAGTGCTTGGCCAAGAGGGTGTGCTTCCAAACGGTGTTACAAGATACCGTGGGAGCAGCCAAGAAAGGCTTCCTGAGGAAGTGGTATTGAGACTGCACTACACTGGATGAACAAAAAACACTTCAAGAGCAGAGAAAGCATCCAGAGGGCTGAGGGATGCAAGCTAAGAGAGAGGACCCAGCAAGAGGCTCAAGTGGGCGAGGTGAAGGAACACCCTCTCTTCCTGCTCCGTTTTGGAGAGCAGGGAAGATGGGGATGGTCTTGACACAGCCTTAGTGACCGTGCAGAGACAGGAGTTAGAGTTGGGGGGTAGTGGAGAGCCGTTGAATGCTCATGCAGTTGTTGAGGAAGATGAACTTGAGGCAGAGAGGTGGCTCAGAGGCCTGGTGTTGTATGTGTCCCTGCAGGACTGTCTGATTGTTCCCTGCTGGTGTGTTCTCACAGCTGAGGAGCCTTTAAAGATAGCAATGTCTGGAGGTCACTTCTCGGGCTGACTCCTCTGGTCTCTGTGGGAATGTTGGAAGTTCTGGTGTCCCCTACTGGACTGCTCCACCTTTGTTCCCTTTTCCTCCCGTTCCCATCCCGGCCTTTGGCTCTTGTGCCCACCACTCCCATCTGTAGTGTCAGTCCAGCACTCCTCTCTGCTCAGCTCGTACACCAGCTCTTCAAGTGAGCTGCAGCTTTATTATGGTTGTCTATTTTAGCCACTGCCTGTTGGTATTTGTTCGCTTATCTCAGTCCAGGGTGGGAAAAGCTGAGGGCCCCAGGAGCGGTTCAAGGTTAAAGTGTACATTGCATTTGACATTTGAGTAGTGTAAAAACCAACTCATGGGTGATGGGATGGAATTTGGAAACATTAAGGAAGATGTGGAAGAGGGTGAACCTCCAGGCACATCGGATTGGATGGAGTCTGGAGTAGTGTCTATGAGGGTCCCCGCCTAGCAACAGACTTGGTCCAACCCTACTGAGTGGCCCATTTTGAGGACTCTGACCAGTTTCCAAAGATGCCAAGAGTCAGGAGAAAGAGAAGGTGTTTGGGGGAAGGGAAAGCTGAGGTCATGGCCTGCAGTGTTGGGCCTGGAAGTCAGCAGGATTCAAGTATTATGACAATTTAGAAAGGAAAGGGGATTGGGAAAGGTCCAAGGAAGGCTAGGAGCCTGATTAGGACAGGGTGCTTGTGCCCACCAGAGAGTGCAGTTTTACCCTAGGGGAGCAGTGTCTGATGGGCGGCTAGAACAGAGGCCTTGGGGCAGACAGCATGACAGCCCACTGGAGGTTTTGCTCCAGTTGTTTTGACTTTGTGACTGACAACAAGCATCCTGGCAACCATGGCAAAGGTTAGGGTGTTTGTTACCCCTTTGTAAAAGCATGATAAACCTGAAGATTGGCTGGTGAACAGCTTTAATCCCAGCACTGGGAAGCAGAGGCAGGCTCCATGCCAGCCATGGCTACATAGTGAGGCCCTGTCTTCAGATGCTTCGGGGCACATTCACACACAGGTGGGTGGAATGAATGCTCCAGGTCTTGACTGTGAAGGCGCTAACATTCGAGCAAGATTCTATGACCCATGAACTTCACACTTAAAAATTCATCTTCAGGGTTTTAAGAGAGTGTTTATGTTCTTTGAAATGCTCTACCAACTTTGTGTATGTGTGTGTGCGCGTGCGTGCACTTGCCTGTGTGCTGAAAAGGACCCTTTAGCTCTGACCTTAGATTGTCAGTGACATTTAAAAATCAAATTATTTGAATTATTTGTCTAACATCAAAAAGGGATGAGGTGGGTTTATGAACAGATGGCACCCTCTGAATCTTTGAGCTCGGCAGTGGAAAATTCAACCAAAGATGGAAAATATTTAGGGGGGAAAGATAGAAAATGATACAATAGAAAATAATGTTGTAACAATAAAAGTAATACAAGTTAAAGGTAAATCTAACAGCTTCTCCTGTAGCTCTTACATTGTATTAGTCTACTAGGCTCAGTAGGGCATGCTGGGTGCTGAGCCATCTTTTGGGAGGGCTTTTGGGGGGGTCTTTTGAGAGGCTTGAGGTCCTGGGGCTGCTCCCTAATGGGCACCAGATGTACCTTGGTTGCTTTGATTCTTTAAATGAGAGGCAACCATCTTACTTTTTCTTGCCACATAAGGAATTATTCCCTTCAAAGGAATTTAAAATATCTCCCACGAATACTCCTATTTTTAACTGAATGTTTTCTTTTGAGTTTTTGTTCTCAGGGTTCTGGTGGGTTGTCTTTAAAAAAAAAAAAACAACAAACTCTTTATAATGGAAACTTTGAAATCGTATGTGGTGAAGCCTCTGGGGCAATCCTACTGTTCTTGCCCCACCCTGCCCATATCCTGTCTGCCTTGGGCACTGAGCAGGAGGGAGAGGGAAGTGCCCCTGAATAGGGTGGGGCAGGCAAGCCGGCTGGCCCTGGAGATGGCTGCACGTGCTGGCTGGGGTGTAACACTGAGGTGGCGAGCCTGTAAAGGGGGGGGGGGCGGGGCTGGATTTCCCGACTGTTCTGCCTTGTGCCCGTATACAGAATGAACACTAATTTTTCTTGGCAAGTGGCCAGAGAAAGACAGATTACTGCTTCACCTCTTGAAATACGTAGCCATTAGTCTTGGTTGGATTACTGAACGATTTCTTCAACCACCATTAAGAGGACTTTTGGATGAAAGGCCAAAATGTCACTACTTCAAGGATATGTATTTTAAATATGCTTTATTTTTATTCTTAAAAAAACTTAGCTGAAACAGTCCGCAGATACCACTCAGTAAGTAGTTGAAATTTAAGCAGCCTCCAAGAGGCTGGAGGAACAGGGATGGGAACGGAGGGGAAGGATGGCTTGCTCCAGGGTCACATGTCACTAGGAACACAGTCTTCCTGGAGAAGGAGAGGTGACATTGCAGAGGCTGCTCATGCAGAGAGCAATGAGTGTCGCCTGGCTTTTACTGATGGGGTGCTAGCACTAGTGGGGTGCTCGGGGAGCATCCATCTTTTGTGCTCTTGAGGGCGACTGCACAATACAGCCTCTCTCTGGGCTTGGAGCCAGTTTCAGCTTTCCTGGAGCCATTCTGTTTGGGAAGCAGGCCTGGCAGGTAATATATGTCCAAGGGCTGGATCTTTTCCTCCTCAGTGGTATGGACTCCTCTGTGGCGTGCTGGGCACCAGGAAGAGGTGATTTCAGGCAGGGATGGAGCCTGGCCCTTCAGGGATGGTGTCGAACTGAGAAGCAAGAGACCTGTTGGGGCTTTGAGAGTAGCATTCCTGGATGGACAGGGCTGGTCCTTGGCAGAGTGCTGAATGAGGGTGGGGTGGCCATCCCTCTGTGTGCTGCTGCTCTTGGGGGCGGAGGGCAGAGAGCGTTTGGGCTTCTAGTTCTTGCCTCCTGCTTCTTTCAAGGAACCCCAGGCAGGTTTCTGATCCTAGGGGCCAGATTCTCCCTCAAGTGAGGAGACTTGGTGTCTGCTTTCCTGGCTTTATGTATTCTTTGGGCCCTTGGTATACTTATGGCTAGGAGGAATGCTCGCCCAGGCAGTGCCTGAGGACTTAAGTGTACAGTTTGTTATTTAAAATGTTCTATTTAAAGTAAGCCTAAAGTTGTAAACGAAGCAATGAGTGACATCATTCTCTTATTTTATTATTTTATTTTGCCTTGCTCAGAATGGAGCCCCAGGTCTGGGGCAATGCTAGCCTAGCGCTCTGCTGCTGTGCTGGATCACCGGGCTTCTATTATGGTTTTCATGGCTAGGATTTTGTTTGTGTTGTTTGAGCCAAGACTTTGGTATTCAAGGCTGACCTTGGATCTGCTGTGTAGTGGCGACTTCTGCTCTTCCAGTGTCCGTTCCTACTGGGCTTATAGGCGAGCCCCCAACCCGAGTTTGTGTGGTGCCGAGGAGCCAATCCAGGGCTGCATGCAGTCTAGGCTCATCCCACCCACTCATCCTCAGTTCTCACGCCTCTTTCCAGAGGAGTCAGATTGCTGTAAACCAGGAGCTCTGGCTGTCTTCACAGTGACCAAGGACACAGTCTCTCTAGGGGAAATGTGTCACCAGAAGGCTTCATCTTAACAGCCATGAAGTTGAGACTTCCCGCAGCAATTTATTAGGTTACTTAAAATAAGCACCATGAATGTCGTCGGTTTAAGTTTAAATATTTATTGAAGTTACAAAGAAGATAATTATTAATGTGTTCTGTGCAGTCCCATCTTGCAGCTTGTTTACACAGTGCTTTCCTGAGTTTTAGAGGTCATATCTTTTATTTTGATAATGGGGATGCCTTCAAACTATTTTACAGGGCATAGGAATTACCTAATATAATTTGTCAGAATTGAGAAAGACAGAGTTTGCCCATAGAGTATCTGTTGGGAATAACAGGTTTGTGGTGGTGGTTTTTTTTTTTTTGTTGTTGTTGTTGTTTTGTTTTTTTTGAGACAGGGTTTCACCGTACTTTTAGAGCCTGGCCTGGAACTAGCTCTTGTAGACCAGGCTGACCTCGAACTCACAGAGATCCACCTGCCTCTGCCTCCCAAGTGCTGGGATTAAAGGCGGGCGCCACCACCTGCCCGGCTTGTTGGTTTGTTTTAAGGCAGAGTCTTGTAGGGTAACCTGGGCTGTCTTTACATACACTTGTGATTCTCCTGACTTCCCAGGTGTTGGAATTACAGGTGTGTGACACCATGCCTAGCCTTACATAGGTGATTTAAAAATAAAAAATTTAAAATTTTTACTTAATATGTGTATGTATGCATGCCACATATGTGGATGCCCATGGAGGCCCCAAAAGGCTTTGTCTCCCCTAGAGGAATGGTTGTGAGCCACCCCATGTAGATGCCTGGGTTCTTTGGAAGAACAGCCAGTGTTCTTAACCTTTTTAGAAGATTTACTTTTATTTAAATGTGTGTGTTTGAGAGAGAGAGGGAGAGAGAGGGAAAGAGAGAGAGAATGAGAATACATTTGCCCTTGGGTGCCTGGAAGAGGATGTCAGAGCTGTTGGAGCACAAGATGATTGTGGCCATTCTCATAGTTACTTAAGTTTTGTTTCCTAATTGCTTTTACTGAGTTGTGTGTATGAGTCTGTAGAAATGGGGAGCCAACTCCCAGCCCATCTCTACACCAAGATAACCAAGTCAAGGCCAGTGGCCTTATTTCCAGAAGAACTGCCCAGTTTATAATGGGGTTCTGTTTCTAGTCCAGTGCTACAATCTATGCTTGTGCGTTTTTATTAATTTTTAATCGCCTCCTCCTCTCTTTCCCTGTCCCTTGGGCCTGTGTTTGTTTATAGAACTATTTCGCTGTGACTGTTTCCTGAGTGCTGCTTAGGATGGTACTGGGTAATGTCCTAGTTAGTAGCAGTAAGGGAGGCCTTAAAGCTTTGGACCTTATGGAGAGGAATAAGGGTTGGCAAGTAGCCAGCCGAGGACTAGAGAGGGAAACTCGTGGCCCATGTATGAACTTAACCAAGAATAACTGTGTTGAGGCGTTAGAAACTTGGTTGGAAAGAGTGAGCTTCCCTTTAAGCTGTGATGGCTATGTATACTTTTAGCTCTGCAGACCTGGGGGGTGAAGTCCTGGGGAGCAGGAGCTCTCAAGGTCATTCCTGTGTGGGGAACTCAAGGCCAGCTGCAGAGGCCTGCTGTCCCTTCCTGTCCCTGAGCCCCTGGGTCTCTCCTCCACACGCTGTGGTGTGGCAGACTGACTAGAGACAAGAGTCCTGCTGTCTGTCAGACCTTTATCACAGAGCCCGAAGTCAGATAAATGTGGAGGAGACTGAGGAAGAAGCAATAGAAGCTGTCCCAGAGGGGAGTTGGGGGGTGAGAGACTTAAGACAATGGAGGGTTTTGTTGTTTTAATGAACCGGAATTTGTAGATGGTGGAGAAAGTCTTTGTCACCAGTAATTCTCACTGCCCACTGACAGTGACTTGTTGGTTCTCCCTGTGGGTGACAAGGCTCTTGTCCCTGGAGCCTTTGGGCCTTTTCTGTAAATGAGGTGAATGATCTCTATGGCCCTGGTCTAGAAATCTGCAGTTGGGCTGGGCTCCTGTGGGAAATGCATGCGTGTGTTGTGGGGAAACGTACGTGTGCAGCTGTAGCCAGGACTGCTTCTAGTTACCTTTTGTTGTGGACTGGGTTATTCTTGGCCAGGCGAGACTCGGTTGTGGCCTTGCTGGTTCCTCCTGTCAGGCTTCGCTGCTGGAGGGGAGCTGAAGGCTAAAAATCCTAATAGAAGGTTTGCACGAACATGTTTGCCAGTCTCTCATTCTTTCGTGCGAATGAGTAACTAATGAAGAGTAGCTCATGAGTCATGAAACCCATGGCATAAAGGATGCCTCTTACCAGACCAGCGTGCCTCAGTCCAGAGGCCTCGGTTGGACATTTGCTATGTTATTTTTCTCAATTTGAGTTTTGTTTTGTTTTGTGTTTTTTTTCTAGTCTCAGTCCTTGGTTTTTCTTAGAATTGTGTACGCCCCTTCAGGTGCCAACACATGCTGTGATTTCATTTCTCCGTCATGTAGGAGCTGTCTTCCGTGGAGAATCCTGTCCTCTTGTGATGCTCTTGATTGTAGTAGGTAGTGCAGGAGCCTCTGGGTTGGGTTCAAAGGCCAAAGCTCACCTCCACTGGGATTAGCTCTCTGTTCTCAACCTAATCGCTTCACCTTTGGGAGCTGGTTGTGAAAATGAATGGGCGTGAGGACATCCTGACGGACTACTGGGCAGAGGACAGAGTAGGGAACTCAGGAAGAGGGCAGATGGAACAGAGGGACGTGTTCTTTTCCGGTGAGGTTAAGGACAGTGTGTGACCTCGTGTTCCTCGTGTGTGTGTGTGTGTGTGTGTGTGTGTGTGTGTGTGAGACAGCAGACAGTCTGGCTTCTCCCTCTGCTGGGTGTGGCCACAGTACAAGCATTAGCTGCTAAATGACTTCAGAATTTTGTGTTCTCTTTGCCGTTTTCCTGAAATACTCAGACGATGGGAAGAGTTGGTGGGCACGTTATCCCTTTCCCCATCGTTAGCAGTTGGTGAAGCAGTGGACTGACTGGTCCGGCGGTCAGGGGTGTTCAGAGCTGTGAGGAGACAGGCTGCCCCAGTGAACCCAAAGCCAACTGCGTTTGTATACGCACACCGCGGACATTCAGTGTCTGTGTACGATACAACTGATCAGTTTTCACGTTTAAGCCGGGGTGTGAAAGAAAACACAGTGTTGTAAGCTGTCTGGCAGCCTGGTCGCAGCTTCTCTGTGTAGCCATTAGCAGCAGGTTTCTCAAAGTAGGAGAACCCCTGGGCCCACCAGCTCCTACCCACACTGTCTTAGAGGCTCCAGAGCTCCTCTGCCTACGGTTGCTTTGTTTCCACCCCAACTCTCCTGCACCCTGCCTTCTGCTCCCTGTGCTTCTGAAATTAGCCCTGCCACAGGACACCTCAGGCCTGTCTTACCCCTGCTGTCAGTTAAAGCTGTGCCTTTGACTGCCTCTGCTAACTCCCTGTGCAGGACTCCGTGGCCTCTTAAAGAGCAACAGTGTTGTGGTTAGAGATGACTCTGGGCTGATGGTGTAGAGACTTGCACTGGTTCACTGGTCACCGACCGGCTGTTGGCTGACCTCTGAGAAGGGATCTGGGCCCTTTAGCTGATTTTCCTTACTCTCTTTGTAAGTTGGTGGTTCTTGCTCTTTGTAAGTTGGACGAAGAGATTTTCTTTCCTGAATTCCTGTCTATAAGTGGCTACTTTGCGGTTATGTTTCTAGAATGTTGGTTGCTTTTCTTGCCCTCCCTGGTGCCAGGGCACAGCTTTCCCCAGTGTCTGGCAGGGCTGTGTCTCACTCTGGAGCACAGTGGATCTGTGAGGCAGAGACAGTGGTCTGTACCCAGCCCTCAGCCCTCAACACGGGCTGGCTGTGTAGTGGCCTAGCCTCCTGAGCTGCACTGAGCCTCTCTGGTCAGCTGTGGTGACTTAGAATTCTCCTGAAGAGGGAAGACCCCTTCGGCTCCTGGCTGCAGGAACACTGTGGACGTTTCCTGAGATTTCCTTCTGTCACTGCTTCTGAAGCTCAGGTCCCCTAACTCCAGAACTTCGTTTTGCTCGTCAGCACTTGATAGAATGCAGCAGATTCCTGTAATTTAAATATTTCATGTAATTCGCTAGTCCACTCGTAAGGGCTTTTCTAATACCCTTTTGGGAAAAGGTTGTATGTATTTAATAGTCCAGTTTCTACTTTATATTCACTGTTTTCAGTGACATTGCAGATGCCTCTGTATGGGCTGCCCTGACCAGGTGAGGAAAGTGAGCTGGTGTCACCTGTGTGTCCGTGTGTCCGTCTGTGGGTGTGCGCACGTGCGTGTGTGTGCCCGCATGCGTGCACGTGCTGCAGATGTAAAGTGAGCCTGCATTCAGTAGTGCCTTCACTTCACTGTGGAGCGGAGCAGGGAGGTCGCATGCAGACAGATCAGCTTGGGAGTTGGTCATTGTCGTGAGCGGTGAATTTTGGGTTCTCCAGGTGGGTATGGGCGCAAGGCTCGATGAATGAGAGACCAGGAGGAGTCGTGAATGACAAGATGGAGGTAGGAGCCCAGGCTGCGACTCCTGGTTGAATGTAGAGAGCAGGGAGGTGCAGAAAAGGAAATTCAGGGGTTTCCCCATGCCCAGAACCCAACATTCTGCAAATGTAAAATGCAGAGAAACTTAGAGCTGAAACATTCTGAAACTAGTTTCAGGAGTTATGTGTTAAACCGTGGGCCCTTCTTTTGGAGGTTCAGTGGGTTGATGAGAACGTCTTAGTTTAGTCACTGAGGGACGAAACTGGAGAAGTGTACGGTGTCAGAAGCAGGAGCCCCGGCAGAGAGCTGCTGAGTGACAGGGCATGTAGATTGTAAGCTGTATGTAGAATAAGGAAGCAGGCGCCGAGAGGTCAAGGAAATAAAATAGCTCGGCTCTGCTAAGTCTGACGGAAGGGGTCAGACTGGATTTTAGCCTGAATATAAGTCTAGGCTATCTCCATCTCCTAGCCAGAACTGTTTTTAAATTCCACAATCTTTCCACCGAGGACTATACAATTCTTTTCAGCTTTATTAAAGACAGGGAAGGGTGACCTGTTTATTTTTCTTCACCTTTTCTAAATGTTCTGCATGTATTTATTTAAAGAGCAAATACAGAAGTAGATTTGGATTTTGTTTTGTTGTGGTGCTGAAGAATTTGGGGCCTCTTGCTTGCTGGGCAGATGCTCCGCCGTGAGATAAACCTGAGTCCTGTGACTAATTTTATTTTAAATGGTAAATTCCACTTGCGCAGATTAGCCATAATGGGTTGTGGAGGAGACACTGATCTGTGTTTCTACCCGTGGGGACATGTGACTGAACAGGCTCAGTGGAAGTACCTTTTCCTTTTAATTTTGAACTTGGAGGGGAAACCTCCTAACTAGGAACCGATTCCTGAGACTCAGCCTGTTCCGTGGCTCACAGACAGAAAGCACTGGCAGGCACACTTTTCTATCCTGGTGTCGTGGGGAACTCCTGGGGTTCCCCTGCCCAGCCCTGGCAAGAGCCTGGGCCAGGCCTCTAGTACCGATTAGGACGGAACTCTAGGAATGGCCCAGGCCTTCTGGCCTGCTGACCGCCCTCCCTGGTAACCTGCCATCTGCCATTTTGCTGGAAGCTGTTCTCCCCACAGAACCTCTTAGCTGCAAACTGTGTCCTCCTCTGTTTGTTTGAACAGGGCCCAGGAATGGCTGGCAGGGAGCAGCCACAGATGGGAGGTAAAGGTGTTGGAGAAGCGGCCCAGGGCTCGGGAATGAGCAGGCTGAGGCAGCAGGCCAGGGCTCCTCTCTGTTCTCTCTGGTCGGATTTGAACAGCAGTGAGCAAGGCTCCGTTCAGAGGGCTCTGACTCCTTCCCCTGTGTACACTCATAAGTTGGGTTTCTAGCCTTGTCTTAGCCCGACTGGGTTGGGGGGGACTAATCGCTTCTGTTTCACGAGAAAGGTCCTGCTTTCCTTTTACTCTCAACATTGTGTGTTGGCAAGGTTTCTGT